CTCTGAATTCTCTCTCTCTCTCTCTCTCTTTCTCTCTCTCTCTCTCTCTATATATATGTGTGTATATATATAATTTTAAGGTCATAGGGACAGTAAATTAGGAAACAAATGAGAAAAGGATCCCTGATGGAAAGGGCAATAATAAAAAAATAATTGAGAGACATTGCCACAAAGCACAAAATGGTATTTTTCCTTTATTATCCACTATTTTTATAAGCTACATATTAATAGTTATCTTCCCCAAGCAGTTCACACAAACTAAGGATTTATGTAGAATGAAAAGTTAAAATAGTTCGCCATCTACTGGTATAACATTTAACTGTCGGAATAGGCAGTACTTTATAAGTGGTTAGTCGCATTAAAAATAAAACAATAGTCCCCAAAACAGAGACACATGCTGAACCCCACGTCACCAAACTAAACTTAATTACAGTTTTGGCTCTCCCACAAAAAGAATCTTAAACCAGTCAATCAGGAATCACCTGGATGGCACTAGTGAGGTTATCTGCCTGATAGACCCTTGCCATTCCCTGAAGGAAAGTGACCTTGCAACAACCAATCCATTTTGCTACTATAACTTCCTTGTTCCCGCTCCCTTCTTTTTTATAAGCCTTTATTTTGCACAGCTCCTTGGAGCTCCTTTCTATCTGTTGCCCAAATTCATGAATTGTTGAATAAAGCTGTTAAGATCTTTAAAATGTACTCAGCTGAATTTTGTTTTTTTAACCTTAGAGTGGGTTTTGCATAAGACAATCCATTTTGCAGAAAGAACTGTTATTTACAATTGTTTTATTTCATTTCTTTTAAATTTCCATTTTGATTATATTTCATAATGTGTATATCTCAATAAAGTAATAAATATGTAGAATTTATAAATAACTGTTAATACTTATAATACATACCCCCAAATTTGTTTTACTGTAAGTGTAGGTAAATCTGAAAAACACGGTTAGATCATTACTACAAATCTTCCAAATTTCTTCATCACTAAAGAAGTTTTAAAAAATTAACTCTGCCAAAGAGCTTCCTAAAAAATACTTCATGCCATATAAATAATCACCACGCATCTATCTAGGTTAAAAACTGAGCCAACAGTGTGTATTATTTACTTGGAATCAGGGGATATTCATGTTCTTTCAAAAAGGAGATAGGGGTATCAACCATAAAATAACATGGCCAAAAAAAATTATTTTTCTCTCACAGCCATAATAAAGATTTTCCATTAGGAAGAGAAAAAAAATTGAAGAATTTTTTTTTCTAATCGCTTATAATTGATTTCAGAACCTCAAAGTATTAAATAGCAGTGTCTATCAACAGGTGAATGGAGAGACAATGCATATACTGGGACAAACGCATATAGCTGATACACAAAACAACATGGATAAATCTGAAAAATCTTCATTCTACATACTATGTGAATCCATTCATGTAAAAATGTATACAAACTGAAAAAACCAGATCAATAGTTGACTGGCACCAGTGCAGAAAGAAGAATTAACCACAAAGGGGTAAAAGGAATCTTTGGTGGTGACAGGAATATTCTGTATCTTGACTGTAGTGGGGACTTAACAGATGTATGCAAACCTCATCAGATTACATATTTTAAAAACATGCACTTTCTTATATGTAAATTATTCCTCAAAGTTGATAAGAAAAAACACTTTAAGTAGCATTTACACTCTTATTTAATGGGGTTTTATAATTAGTATTAACTCTCAACATCTACTTTTACTTCAGTCTTCAGGTCTCAAAAGTAGTCTACTATGAGGTCTCCTATCATTCTCTATTCAAGCTATCAATTTCTAAGTGAGTTTTTTGTTCGTAAATCATGATAGCACAATTCAGTAAAGCACAAAGAAGTCCACCCTTGCAAATTATCCGACACTTCACTTACAGAAATATTACTACATAAATCAACTTTTGAGGACATTGCTCCTTTTTTTAAAATTTTAACATCTCTAAGCTCTCTTAAATCAACACCAAATGCATAAAAACAGCAAAAAGAGTATATTTACAGGGTGGGACAAAAGTAGGCTTACTGTTGTTCATATGGAAAATACAATCTACTTATATAAAAACCCTTGGTTACTGTAACATCACGGCCAGAAGCGCGACCAACTAGAAGGAAGTCAGTCCTGTAGGGGTCGTCTTGGAAACAGCTGCGCCCTCCCCCAGCTGTTTCCCCGGAGGGCGAGGTTTCAGGCAGGAACCTGCCTCAGAGCAGAGCGTGGGTCCTGGGTTGCCTTGCCAAGAACTTCGCCTCCCCGAGCTGTTTCCCACGAGGCCTGAGGGAAGAACCCACCCTCGGAGCACCAGGAACACCCAGCAGCAGTCAGTCCTGAGTTGCTGAGGCAGAAGCCACAGTGTGGTACAACTCTGGGTCTGGCCCAACAGGGGACGTGGCCGGAACCTGCCTCAGAGCAGAGCGTGGGTCCTGGGTTGCCTTGCCAAGAACTTCGCCTCCCCGAGCTGTTTCCCACGAGGCCTGAGGGAAGAACCCACCCTCGGAGCACCAGGAACACCCAGCAGCAGTCAGTCCTGAGTTGCTGAGGCAGAAGCCACAGTGTGGTACAACTCTGGGTCTGGCCCAACAGGGGACGTGGCCGGCCTTCAAACCAGGCGCTCTGAGTAGGGAGGAGGCAACCCCATTCCTCACAAAATCTGCTGTTGGATAGCTTGCTGTCAGTGGCCTGCCAGCCAGGAACCCCATTCACCTGCCCCCCGGACCCTGACAGGAGGGAGGAGTTTTTGACAATGTCTCAATGTGATCGGCCATAGTACAAACGAGTTTAAAGTACTGCAATGTTTGGGGATGTTTCAGAAAGTTGTCTCTTACAACAAATATGAGATCAGAGGATTCTGCTTATAGTGAAACTTGGAGATGGCAACCTTGATAGCAGTTTTCATTTAGGAATGGATATTATTGAAATCCCCTGTGAAATGATTTGTAATGGATCGATTATTGAAGCTACCTTTGGAAATACTATAGCTGTAGATAATATTAAAAATATATCTAAACGTGCAATTCTTTGTCCAAAAAATGAGCATGTTCAAAAATTAAATGAAGAAAATTCGGATATACTCGATGGAGATTTTCACACATATTTGAGTGATGATTCCATTGATTCCACAGATGATGCTGAAAAGGAAAATTTTCCCATTGAATTTCTTAATAGTATTACTCCTTCGGGAATGCCATGTCATAAATTAAAAGTGAAAGTGGGTGCAATCATCATGCTACTGAGAAATCTTAATAGTAAATGGGGTCTTTGTAATGGTACCAGATTTATTATCAAAAGATTACGATCTAACATTATTGAAGCTGAAGTATTAACAGGATCCGCAGAGGGAGAGGTTATTCTGATTCCAAGATTAATTTGTCCCCATCTGACACTGGCCTCCCACTTAAATTAATTCGAAGGCAGTGTCCCATGATGCCAGCATTGCGATGACTATTAATAAATCAGAAGGACAAACTCTAGACAGAGTAGGAATAGTCCTATCTGAATCCGTTTTCGGACATGGTCAGTTATATGTTGCTTTCTCTTGAGTTCAAAGAGCAAGTGTTGTTAAAGTTAAAGTTGTAAAAACCTCAACAAAAGAATTAATTTGTCCCCATCTGACACTGGCCTCCCATTTAAATTGATTCGACGACGGTTTCCTGTGATGCCAGCATTTGTGATGACTATTAATAAATCACAAGGACAAACTCTAGACAGAGTAGGCATATTCCTACCTGAACCCGTTTTTACACATGGTCAATTATATGTTGCTTTCTCTCGATTTCAAAGAGCATGTGATGGAAAGTTAAATTGCTAAATACTTCAGCACAAGGGATATTAGTCAAGCACTCTGAAAGGGTTTTTACTCTTAATGTGATGTACAGGGAGATATTAGAATAAGTTTAATCACGTCAACAGTTATTGTTTGCATCACTGTTGTTTTTGTATCATGTTTTTGTCGTTTTTATATCATGCCTCTATTGTTATATCCTTTTGTTGCTGTTTATTTATTAATAAACTTATATATTATTTTCATATACATTTTACTAATTTCCTTTCATCTCTCACACTTCTACTATAGAGAAAGGGCAAATAGCAATATTAAAGTATCTCCGCTAATTAATTCCCTTTTAATGTGCATGAATTTCGTGCACTGGGCTCCTAGTAGTAAAT